CTGAAACAATCTGATTATTATGTCTCCTGATTGCAGATTATATTCTTTCTCTTTGTAAATGTGTTCACAGAGATAGGCTAGCAAAGTAAAATTGAAAACATACCCAATTCCTTCTGAAAAGCTCTTACTCGCTCTTGCCTACCTATCCAGGTTCAGTGACGACCCTTCTCACCTCCACTTCTAGTGGGAATCACCCTGAGCTCTTGTGACTCTCCCGCTTGTGTACTTGCTGGCATTTCTGCTGGGAATTGTCTCTAGGTTTTAACTGTTGAGGGAAATTGCCCTCCTCTTTAAAGAATCAACTCAGTCGGTACCTCCTCACTGAAGACTTTCCCAGTTCCCTTAGCATCACACACCTACCCTCTCTGTTCCCATTGCAAACGGTTCTTACAGACGTCCCAGCACGTGGCATACACGTCACATCTGTAGCTGTCCCCGCTACCAGCCTGCGGTTCCCTCAGAGGCAGAACTAACGTCTTTCTCATTTTCATTGCTCATACAGTGCCCGGCAGGTAAAAACCACTCTGTACTACCCGTTCATATTTGTGGCATTTATTTTTTCAAGGTTCCTTCACTTCATATGCATATGATAGGTAATTTTTACCTCTACTGACCAGCCTCTGTATAATTGTATATAGTTCTTGCAAAGACTGAAATATAGATTACACAGAATGGCGGGACCTGCCCTGAACACACAGATGCTGCATGGAGTGGATTTATGTCTTCGCCAGGTAGTTAACAGTCAGAAGCGAAGGGCTACTGATCTGAATCTGAAGCCAGGTGGAAGATGAATCCTACTGGGTCACCCTTAGGGGTGACAGTTGAGGTCTAGAAGGTAGGTCGGCTGTGGTTGGATCTACTAATATTGGTATTTTTCTTTCGAAGTCAGCATAACTCTTGACTTTAGCCTCAGGAGGTCACAGGTAGCTTAAAGCCATCACCATGCTTTGACTGCTTGCTTAGCCTCAAATACGTAGCAGGTCTCAGCCTGACTCCCTGGGGTGTATTTATACTCTTAAACTGCCAGTGACTAAAAGTGCTCACGTCGTTAGACTGTGGAGCCGGGGGTCATCGCAGTAGCTATTTGACTGCTCTCGTCAGTGACTACCTTTCCTGAGGGCTCTCGCTCTAGGCTGCGGGGGAAAACTTGGAGGGAAGGATGTGCTGTGTCAAGACAGTGGCGCTGTAGCAGAATGATTAAGAATATAAGAATATTTCAGAGTGGGTTCCCCCAGAAGCAGACAATAAGGAAAGGATTTGAGCTGATAAGTGTTGTTTGGGAGTTAAGCACAAGAAACACTGGTAGGGAATGAGAGAGTCAGACTGGAGAGGGAGGATGGCCAGTGCTGGGTGCTTGACTTACGAGAAGTAAGTTGTAACTGTGGGCAACAGGAGCTCAGTCCTTATGGGGACTTCGGAGAACTGTGCCCTAGGGCTGTGTCCCCTCAGGGGTGAGTCGTTGGTGGATGGCTACTTCTGAGGAAAATTAATTTCCCAGCCCTTGTCTATTGCCAGCCTCCCCTCTGGCTCAGAGATGCAGATGCTGGAAGTGGGAAATCAGGCAGGTATGGGAGGGAATGGTAAGACCCCTGGTGATATGGGGAAGGGACCAACAACAGTGTCCACTACAAGATGTTAGACTAGAATGCTTTATGTCCTTCAAGATACAGTCAATGTAGAATTTCAAAGTGAGATGCCAGATCACCAGGTGGACACTTCTGTTTCTATATTTTTGAGCCCGCTTCATGACTCTTGAGCATCACACCCACTTCAAGAATGTGGAAAGTTCAAGGGAGTAGAGCTCGCATTTTTGAGAACTTTTCTGGAGAATCCGTCCTGCAAGTCTCTCCAAATGCACCTGCACCTTTTCTCTTACCAAGCCCGGGAGCCCTTTAATCAGATGACTTGGGGATCCTCATATGTGGCTTCTAAAGTTTGTTGACACAATGCACTGGAATCTGAGCCCCTATCTGGGGAAACGTGGCGAGTTGGAAGACAGGCTGGTGAACTGCTCTGGAGCTGAAGCAGAAGTGAGCTTCTGCTCTGGTGGGAAGTAACAGCACTCCCTGAAGGGCCCTTCCTCTTGGCCAGCATGCTGGACTGGAGCCATTTTAAGTTTTGCCAAGAATGTTGCAAGGAAGTGACAGTGGGACAGTGAGTGTCCATGGATTGAAAGAGAAACAGGATTTGAAGCTATAGTGACCCCCTGAAACAGTCATTACCCAGGTCAGTGTAGTGTGTGTGTGTGTGTGGGGGGGGTACTCATGAGAGAGTCCATAACTCTGCACCTGACACCAGAGATCCCTACCCCAAGTGACAACTGCCCCTGCTGTCTAAGATGTGTCATTTTCTCCCGATTTCTTCTCTCCAACCTGATCCTGGAAGGAGTTAAATCATTAGCCTCCTTTGTAAGAGGGAAACATGTTGGTGGGGAAAGAGAAAGGACCATCTCCCTTTCTCCCACTGGAAGTGCCTCTCCAAAGTAGACCCCAGCAGTGATTAGATGCTGAAGCAAGTTTTGGCTTTGGATTAATGTCTAGAGTTAGTCAATTGTTCACAAGACTTTCTGAGAGCGAATAATTTTTTTTTATGGGTTCAAGATTGTTTTTAATTTCAGAGTCTGCAACAGTTGGTTGGCAATGCTAGCTGGGCTGGTACAGTCTGAAGGCCATCCCACCTCCCTTTCCTGGCATTCAAGGTTATGGGACTTGACCAAGTCCATGATTTTATCTAGGAGCAAAGAAAAATCCTTCCTCAGAGTCAGAGCTAAAATGGAAGTTGTTCCTTTATAACATCCCATGGGTGGTGTTTGTTAAACTGTGGACTTTGGAAACAGACCTTGATTGAATTTCTTTCTCTCTAGCTTATTGACAATGTGGTCTTGGTACAGTTCCTTACTCACTGTATTGGAGTTCTCCTGAGAAACAGACCCAATAGAGAACACACACTTGCATATAAACACAGAGACTTATTATAAGGAATTGGATCATATGATTGTGGAAGCCAGTGTCCCATCTGGAGACCAAAGACTAGAAGCTGTTGTAGAACCAGGAAAAGCCGATGTACCAATTTGAAGGCCATCAGTCAGGAAGAGCCAGTGTTCCAGTATGAAGGCGTGTCAGGCAGGAGAATTCTCTTGTACTTGAAGGAGGGTCAACTTTTGTTCTATTCAGGACTTCACCTGATTGGATGAGGTCGATCCTCATTATAGAAGGCAATTTGCTTTACCCATCTATTGATTTAAAGGTTAATCTCATCCAAGCACACTTTCATCATCAACATCTAATCACTTCTGGAGTCTGCTGTGGTTGGGCACTTCCAGTGGGAGAAGTGTATGTGGTCCTTTCTCTTTCCTCACCTACATGTCTCTCTTTCCGAAAGAAGGATAACCATTTTTCTCCTTTCAGTAACACCAGGATAACGTTTGACCAAATGTCTGGGCACTCTGTGGTCCAGTCCAGTTGACACATAAGATTACTTATTACATTCACACTCTGTGAATCCATTTGGTCCGCACAAGGGTTGTGCAGAGATGAAATGAAGAAACTTGACAAGCATTGGCAGTTATAGGCTCTGGAAATGGTAGTCATAATTTTTCTTAAGGGGAGTGTTCAGAGAAACAAGAGTTTTACCCAAGCTTAGGAAATACAGAACTCAGAGGTGTAAAATCACAGGATCAAATGTAGGCCAGTGGTCAGGGAAGCGAAAAAAGATATCCCTGAGAAATGTAAACTTAACGTAAATCTGGTCTTGGACAAAGAACCCCTTACATTGTGCCTGTAGAAACAGGGAAAAGGTGATTGACTTAAAACCTTAAACATTCATTGAGCATCTACTATATACCAAATATTGCGTTAGAGTTTGGAGATTCAGGGATGAATAAGATACCATCCCTGTCCTTAAGGGTGTTCTAATCAGCGATGGGTAAACTTTTGATAACTTTATAATTCTGTTGTGCCTTAAAGGAAGTACCATTACAGAGCGTTGTGGGGGTGACTTACAGTGGGAAGGCTTTACAGAAGTGGCATTTTACAGAGAAGAAGAAATAAAATTCCAGGGAGGCGTTTCTCTAGACCACTGTGAATAAAAGACCATTATTTTTCTGTTTTCTCAGAAATTATTGCTCTTCCAGGATTTAGCCTGCCTAACTCTTGGGAAACCAGCTGATGTCAATAAAGCAGTTCACCCTGCTTAGTAGATGTGTATTTAAGTTGAATTTTAATACAGTTGTCCTGATCATATGGTTTAGAGTGGAGTCATATGTGGCCAATAAATTCTGAGATGCAATTTATGTACAATCAAGATTACCATCAAATCCTTTAAATCTCCTATAAAGTACGGCTTGGCATAGTTTCTCAGTTCCTTTAGTCAACAGATATTTATTGAGTGTGAAGATTTGTTCTAGACATGGTGGGTATTACAGGGAACCAAACAGATTAAGTCCCTGCAGCTGGGGAATTAAAGAATACAAATGAGCAGATAAATATGTGTACACAAGTTAGTGATACGTACCATGAAGGAAAATAAAGCAGGGTAAGAAGCTACAGCATAATGGATAGGGGGAGGCTTTTCTCTGACATAAGCAGCCTTTCTGATGGGGTGATATCTGAGCAGAGGCCTGAGCTAGTGAGGAGGCAAGCTACGTAATAATCCAGGAAGACTGTTGCAAGGCAGAGGGAACAGCCAGCGTGAAGTTGCTGAGGTTTGAGATGCTGAAGGGCTGCAAGTAGACCTGGGAGGTGGGAGTAAGTGATCAGGAAAAATATTTTTTCTGTGTAGCAGATCCATTCAGAGGATCTAAGTTCAGATCACCAGGGACTTGCAAGTTCTGCTAAAGCGTGCACCAGATTTTATTCTATGCATAAAGAGAAGTCACTGGCATCTCTCTGAGAAGGGTAGTAACTAATGTGATTAGGCTTATCTTTGGAAAGGAGTACTCTGGCTACTGTGAGGACTTTCAAGCATAAGGAGGCAGAAATGGAAGCAGGAAGACCAAGTAGAAGGATATTTAAGTAGTTGATGTGAGAGATGACGGACTACAGTTGTAGCTCTGGAGGTCTTCAGCGTTGTTGGATTGGAGCAATTGTTTGAACTTAGAACCCAAAGGATTTGTTGATGGATTGGGTGTGAGTATGAGACAATAAGGTATCAAGAAGGATGATTCCTGGACTTTTGGTGTGAGCCCCAAAATAGCTTCGTCTTGAGATAGACGAGAGTCTTGAGTCAAGCACCAGATGAAGATAATGTCGGGATCTGGAGCCACACTGAAGACAACCAGAATGAATACGGTGTCTTTAAACGTTAAAACTGTATTCAGTAAAAGACTGATGCTATTAGAGGCATGTGGGAATGCAGGAGCCTGAGTCACCCAGTAACCAACTCCCATCTCCCATCTCAAACTCTTTCATTTTATGGCAGCCACGACTGAAGTGGAGTGGAGTGATGGAAGGAGTCACCCACAGTCTAAAATATTTCTCCCAGTGTTTCCTCCTTCCTCCCACCCACCCTCCCTTATTTTCTTCTTCCCCCTTGCTGTGCACAGAACATTAAATGTTACTCCACTGTGAGATGAACTTTTTTCCTGATACACTCTGCTAACTGCCATAGTTGAGTTAGATGTTGCAAATAAGGAACTGAAATTTCTCCAGATGAGATGAATGAAAGAAAACGCTCTTCTTAATTTTCAGATGCACCAACCAACACTTCAGTTATCTACATACACATTAGGTAGATTGAGAGCTTCTGAACTCTTTTTATCAAACAGTACCCAAGTAGTCCACAGGTATTAGAAAGCACTATTTCCTGTGATTGAATTTAAGCTCAGCAAACCTGGCACATTGTATATTTATCTGAACATAATTACTTGGTTTTATCACATAATATTCTTTGTGATGCCCAGACCTCGACAAGAGTCTTAGACAGTGTCTCCCAGGTTTTCTCCAGTGCACTGTGCTATTATTGCATTCATAAAGCTCACTGGGGCCGTATGAGCAAGGTACTAGACAAGTGATAGATTCTTGTTCTTCTGCTGGTAATTAGATTTGACGAGCTGTCTGTCTGGCAGGCTGCTTCAGGAAACAGATTGCTGACCATAAGTTGCTTTAGTATCACGAGAATGTCTTGGTAAGACATCTCTTTGTATGACCAGAGGAACACAGGATGATGGGTGGCACCATAGATACTCAGACATGACTCATTAGTGGCTTAGAGCATCCTGGTATATTTCACTTTTAACATAACATTGGGGCCAAACCACAATGAACGTTCATCTTCAGTTGACCACTTATGTATGTACATTCTCGTCCTTTGACATCCCGCACCAGACTGTAGCTCAGCAAAGAAAAGTGTTTTAAGTTGCTGCAGAACTGTCTGTCTTCTCGCTGGTGAAGCCAGCAGACTCATACATATGCAGCAGAGAGAGTCCTCATCTCCATGAGGGAAAATTATATTCTGTCCTGAGGGCTGTTGAGGAGCCTCACCTTTTTTCTTGTCACACTTTAGATGAATGGATTTTTACTCATACAGGCACTAAAAATATTAAAAAATTAGTCAGTGCTCACAAAATATGAAGACAGATTTTGAAACCATTTCTTTTTGGTAAAGGGAGAATTATAAATGGAAGTTAATTCATTTTCCCCTACAAGACATATTAATACTTTCCATCAATTTCTCAAATTATTAAGTGGAGGAATGTTAGACTATTAAGGGCTGTAAATATTCTTTACATAGATATAATATTAAAGAACCTATACTTTTTCAAATAGACATTAAATAAATGATTGTACTAAACAACTATAGTTACTAAAGGGTTCTTTAATAAGTTGTTACTATTTAGAATGTTAGTTTGTTCGTTCTTAGAATGTTTTAGATTATAATTGTGGGCCAATATATGCAACTTGGAGTCAAAATAAAATTAAGTGACGTTTTAGTTTTATTCTTTTATTATTTAAACATACAAATTACCCTCAAACATTGGATTTGCACAAATAATAATGATCATAAATATGCATTGAGCTGGAAACTGTTCAAATGGCATGTTATTTAATCCTCACCAAACTCTGAGGAAGGTATTATCATTCTTTTTTACACAAGAGGAAACTGAGGCAGAGTGATTTTTAAGCAGTTTTTCCCAAGGTCAAATAATTATAAGTAAAAGAGCCAGGATTAGAACTCAAGCAGTCTGTTGACTCTTAACCGTTATGCTTTGCTGCCTCAGAGGAAGAATCTATTTATGCACATGAAAAAATTAATTTGTATTTCTATCAAATTTATACACACATCTCGTTTACGGAGCTAAATGGTTCTAGAAGGCTTTATGACAGAGATTAATCCCCTGGAAAACTTTTCCCATTTCCTATCCCTAGAGGCAACCACTTTCAATGCTTTTAGCAGATTCTTTTTTGGTGTTTTTGTGCATGTCTCTAAATAGCATTTATCTTAGCTGCTTCTTCACATTTCCACCTTGGGCATTTTTTTAGTCGACTTTTCACCGCGTAAGGCAGGGATTTGGCTATTTTTGACACACCTCAGCGCACATCTTATCGTTAGTTGAGTATTCTGTGTTTATGTTACCACGACCATGTGCCTGCTGTTGGTAAGTGAATTATTAGCAGGTATATTGGTTTCCCTTCTCGCACAATTCTTTGCTCCCGTGTCATTAATAATCATCTAGTTCATTCACCTTCTTGCTTAGTTCACTATAGATTTATCATGATTTATCCCTAAATTCCCACCAGTTGTATAAATACCCTCAAGGACATGAACCCTTTCATGTTCTTGAAAGAAAATCTCCCCCAAAGGTAGGCTGACTTCTAGGCTCACTGCAGATCTTGCGTCCCGGGCGTCTCTCTTCGCCATGATCCTGAGGATCCCCTTTGCCTCTCCCTGGGGTGGGAACCCCAGTGCCTGTCTACCATGAGTATTCTTTGCTGGTTTGTTGCTCTGGCTTGATGGGGCACATTCTCCATTGGTTGTGTGAGAAAGGGTACATGGGAGAAAGCAAACCTGACACCTCACTTCTCTGAAAATGTCTTACTTTTATTAAACACATGAATACTTAAAGAATTGCCTAGAAAACTGTCTGGCACACAGTAAGCAAAAGATGCATGTCTGCTAAATTTGACCTTCATCCTTGTCTGATAATATAACAAGACACTGTATTTTAGGTTGTAAGTAATTTTTTTTTTTCTCAGACTTTTGGAGGCATTCTCCTGTTGTCATCTAGGTTCTGGTATGGATTTTGAGAAGTCCAGTGCCTTTTGACTTTTTATTCTTTGTTTTGTAGTTGGTGGTTTTAAATTTCATGATGATACGGGAGAGTTTTCCTTCATTCTGCAGGGGACTCAGTGATCATTTTCAATCTCAATACTCATAGCTTTTAGGTCTGTAACTACTCTTGAATTATGTCTTTGGTGGCTTGTTTCACACTCACACCCCACTTTTTCTTTTTTTGTCTCCTTTTGCTTTTTCTGGCTCTCCTGTTACTTTGATGCTGGATTTCCTGATTCTCCAGTTTTCTTATTTTCTTTCTTTATTTCCATATTTGTCATTTTCACCTAATAGCTGGGAAATTTTTCCACTTTATCTTCCAACACATATACCAAGCTTTTCATTTCTACTGTCCTTTTTGGACTTTAAAAACACTTTTCCTGTGTTTTTTTAAATTTTACTTTTTTTTATTAAAGTCTAAGCAGTTTACACTGTTGTATCAGTTCCTAGTGTACAGCTTAATGTTTCAGACAACACTACAAAGCTACAGCAATCAAAACAGCCTGATACTGCCACAAAAACAGACACATGGATCAATGGAACAGAACAGAGAGCCCAGAAATAGCCCCACACACTTTTGGTCAATTAATCTTTGACAAAGGAGGCAGGAATATACAATGGAGAAAAGACAATCTATCTTTTTTAAATAGCATGTTGTTTTTGTTTTATGACCACAGTGTCATTTTTCTCTGAGGACATTTATGATAATTTATTTGAAATGTTCTTTTCTTGGTAGAGTCCCTATGTCCTTTTCACTGCTTCTGTCCACTAATTTGCTTTGGCTTTGGTCTTTATATTAGAAGCGTTTCCATGTTTGAACCAGGTTCTTCACACATACCTAACAGCTGGACGATAAAGCACTAATTGAAGGTTCTCTGTGACTGGAGATGATGGTTGACAGTAGAATCCAGTATAAGGTGATCTGGTCTGTTCTTTTTGGAAACATTTGATTCTCAGTATATTTAAACACCTTATTTTTAATTTGTTGGTTTTCTTAGAAACTACTCTTCAAAACTCCTGCCCAGAGTCTAAGCCCATCTTTTAGCATTCTGTTGGCTCTCACTTACTTTTCCTCAATTCAGCATGGAACTTGCATTCAGTTTTGCATAGTGTTTCCTAGTGTAGAACATAAATGTCCCTTCTTCTCCCAGGTTGAGGGCAGGGCGTCAGTCATGTAACTGATCAGAATAAAGAAGATGATCTGGGTGTTTTTGTTTCTTAAAGAGACACTCAACCCACCTTCACCTGCCACTCTGAGGGGTAGTCTGGTGTTGCCAGTTCCTGAGGCTTTTGGGTTCTGTGGTCAAAACAAATAGTTCCTTGGCTTTTCTCCCTGAGTGTCTAGGATTAAGCTTTATCAGGTCTGAAAAGTCAGTCATCACTCCATCTGCTTTCCAGTTTCCAGAATTTTCTTGTCTCCTCATTGTCCTTGTAGATGCACAATTTAAAAACAAAAACCAAAAATGTAATTGTAAACTTAATGGAATTTCAGGAAAGGTGCAAGTACCTGCCTTTAATCATCCTTCCTTGGAGATTTGTGGATATTTTTAGTTTTGTACAGTTTATGTGTTAGATGCCTGAAAGTCTACCTTGGTGATTTGGTTTTTGTGTAAAACTCTTCGCTTCTCAGGGGTATAAGTGGGAGGTGGGAAGGTAGCACGTAGAGACATACAGAAGCACAGAAGGAAAAAAGAAAACATTGTGGGGGAAAGACCACACACTTAGAGGGAAGAGGCCTGAGTTTGAATCTTCTACTAACTTAACAGGAGTTGCTAATCCTTGTAGCATGTAACTACGTTTGTAAGATGAAAATAAAACGCCTACCTCATAGTTGCGTTTTTTTCAGATTGAGGTAATGTGCCACCTGACACACAGCCATGGGTATGGTGCCCAGTAGAGGCCCCTGGCCGTCATGCATGAAGGGAGAGCATTTGCAGGCGGTGCTTGGGGAGGCTGGAGGGAAGCCATTCGAGAAGATTTTTAGATTTGTATAATCACACCTACTTTGTAATGTTGACAAGGGATAAGCCAGATGGCAAAAATAGCTAGCTTTGGAAAGCCCCCTCTAATTCCCAGATTCTGTAGTTATTATAATAACTTTATTGCAAAAAATTGGGTCATGCTGGTTTAACAAGTATAGAGCATAAGGACTATGATTTCAGGCTAACTGGGACTTTTTGAGAAAATCCACAGGGTATGGTTACCTGAGCTGTATCAATTGTGGCATGTGTGAGTGTGTGTGTGTGTGCGCATGTGTGAGTGTGTGTGTGTGTGTGCGTGAGTGCATTTTGAGCTAACAGTGTGGACAGGTATAGCAGAGAGGGCTTCGTTGACTCATGCATCCAGGCATTGTTAGCACAGAGAGATTCTCTTGCCAGATCCTGTTTCAAAGGGAAAACTCTAAAATACAGAGAAGTTTGAAGAAAAATACAGTAATCCTGCTTGTGAATAGTTCTGGGAAGACAACAGTCCTCCTAGACGGGCAGAGAGAATTTAGAGTGGCGTAGCTAAGGCCCTGGGTAATAGCACAGTATTTAATAGAGTTGTTCATGTGGCTATAAAGTTGAGTTAGAAGGGAAGATAAAAAGCTTTTTCCAATTTACCTGTAATCTTGAGTCTTCAACTGTCTTCTTTTCATGAATGGATAAAGTTGCTGCTTAAGTTTCAGTTTCATGACTTGCTTATAACGTCACTGTTTCATTCAAAAGCCACCCTCCCCCCAGAAAAATGAATAATCTGACTCCCCACCCCCTACCTCAGTAGTCGTTCTGCAGGGTGGGATTTTTTCCTGTACTCAATGAAAACTATATCCAAGAAGCTCTTCTTAGTGTAAAATTAAGTGTAGCTGTTCCTCGGACAAGGGCTGGTACAGCAGGTTTGGTCTTGTATAACGCGTATTCCCTTTTGGAAGACAAGGAAGACGTTTCTGGATTGCTTCAACCTGGCTGTCTGCAGTCCTCGGTGGGAACTATGCCTCTGTCAGCTCTTCCGTGGTTACTGACTAGTGATGGAATGACAGGTGAGAAATCGCATTAGTTGTGCAACAGAGAAAATGGAGCAAATTAAATCTCTGTGCATAGATCTTTTTAGAAAATTATAAGTAATTCATAAAATTATGTTTTAAAATAATGTTCATAATCGTTTGGTTCTGTAGGACAACATGAAGTGGATTTTGGGAGTTTTCTTAGAGAGTGTGTGTGTGTGTGTATATGTGCACACTTTAAGAGTCTGGTTTCATTAAGGCAGCACTTTGGTATAAAGTGGTCTTGGGCATTGAAAATTTACTGTCTCTCTCTTTTTTAAATGCATGTTTTCCTTTTTAAAAGGGTATCTTTCAAAACCTTTTATTCTTATTTCAAAACCCGTAAATGTTTCTCGACTGCCTTCAGGGTATCATAAATTTCTTACGTTTGCCATTCAAGATTCTCTACCCTCTGATCCCAATTTACTTTCCCCATTTTGTCTGCCACTATTTTCCTACATAAACCTTTCCTTTCAGCGGAATGGGAATGATGAGTGGACTCTATAGGCTTTTCAATTTTGCCTCCATCTCAGAAATTCTTTCCTTCCCCCTGTGCTTACCTGCTGCTAACCCTTCCTGAAGATTTGACCGAAGCACTTTCCCTCATCATCCCTGCGCACACGCATGGTTAACCCATCCTGCACCCTTCCACGTCCTGCTGGGCGACTCAGGAATCATTGAGCATCATTGGCCAGTACACGTTCCACCTACATGCATTCTGTTTAATTCTGCCTAGAATGTAGGCTCCTTGAAGGCAAGAGGTTTTATGTTTGTTTCATAGCATTTCTCTTTCCTGACATTAAAAATCCACCTATGTGTTTGTTGCTTGCTTATTGATCGATCTATCTATCGAATCTGTCAAATCGTATGTTTTTTGCTGTCGACTCCCACAAGAATATAAGTTCCAGAAGTCATGAGAATTGCAGAGGTTAAAGAGGTAATATGTAGCAGACAGTCTGACTCTGGAGCCCATGCTTACAGTCACCAATCTAGACAACCTCATGGTGATGGTCAGTGACCCCATCATTGACACTTCTAATTTTACTTAACATCTCAATAGGATACTGATGCTGCTGACCATTCATTCTTGAGTGTGACACTTCTCCTGGCTTCTGTGACATCCTTTTCTCTCTCCTCTCTCCTCCTACCTCCCAGATCACTTCTCTAGTCCTCTCAAATATTGGTTGAAATATTGATGGCCCCCAGTGTTGTCTTCATATTTTTTCTGCACTTTCTAGCCTAGTACTTCTTGACCTTGGTGATACATGACATATCATAGTGTCACAATCAGTCATGACATACATCAAAACCACTCACTTATTCATAAGCATTAAGTTATAAGCACTTGTGAGTGATTTTCCTTTTTAAATAATCAGACTCACCTCAAAATTACCATTATAAGGATGTCATGCCCACTCATTTGCATTTCAGCAGTGTGCTTGTGTGGGAAAGGTAGAGTCAGGGTTAGCTGGAAGTGAATTGCTCATAATTCACAGCCTATTTTACGTTTGCTGAAAATATCCACAAACTGTGATTATTGACGTGGCATTGACGGTTGTAGCAATTTTGAAATGTAAGGTGTAAACTGTGGATTTACAGTTGTATTTGTTTCCTTGATTTTACCCATGGAAACATTTTGAATAAGGAAGAGAGATGAAGAGAGCATGTGTGTCCATCTATATCCACATAGAAATGAGAATGAGACTCGTTACAGTTTCCCGATCAAAGGTGTTGTGGTCATCCACATGGCGTGTGCGATAATACTGCTGATATTAACATCATGAATAAAGAGAATGTGCTGTGCTTTTTAACCATGAACTATGAATTATTTTTCTTTATTATCACATGCTTACTTTTCTTATATATTACTGTAGAGGTCTGAATTAGATCTTTAGAGTCTTTTGTAGTTTTATATTAGATTAGCCATATGTATTTTTCCCTGAAAAAAAGCCATGTTTTGAGCTCATTAAATAGATGACTTTACTAATCATTTGCCGATAAAGTGCTTTTGTAAACATGACCTATCCAAACAGTTTGGGAATTCTGTGCTTTACTTGGCCAACTACTTTTGCTCATATGTGAGTGTGCTTGGTTTTCATTACACTCTGAGTGCACTCCTGGGAATGTGTCTCGTATGAGTGCCATTCATCATCTGTCAAGGCAGAAGCAAAGTTGAAAACCTCTGCTCGAGGCTGTTTTGTATACTTCTGTGTGGTTAACTCTCTCCCACAAGTTGATGACTCCTGAATTTCTATCATCGCCCACAATTCTTTCTCTGGAGCTGCAGACTCATTTATTAAGCCACCCACTGGGCATCTTTATGTGGACGTCTTTCAGGCTCCCAAAACACATCGCGTCTGAAACTGAACTCATTTTTCATCCTAGTCTCCCAACGCAACGGCTCTTTTTTTCAGTGCTGTACGTTTTCATCAATTGTACTATCATTCACCCAGTTCGTTAAGAGCATTGAGAGTAATAATCCATGTCTCTCCAGTCAATAGCCTATTCCTGTTTATCTCCTAAATATCTTTGAAAGTATTTCTCTCCTTTCTCACTGCCTTCATGTTAGTCCAGCTGCTCTTCATTTCCTATTAGAACCATTTCCTAGCCCGGTGATTCTCAAATTTCAGCCTGCATCAGAAGCATGAAAACACAGCTTGTTGGG